ACACAGGACAGGATAGGACAGGGACCGATCATCCGATTTCAGCCAGAAATCACTGGCTGAAATCTAATGATTGATCCCTCCTGGATCGAATCGGATCACCCGCGGGTCGGCGGGCGCGCGCGCGCGCGCGCCCCCTGCCCGCGAAAGTGTCGGGAGCGCGGAACCCGTTTTTAAACGTGGTTTTGCGCTCCACTGCCGCCCTGCACACGTATAAACACAGTGGCAGGGCGGCAAGCGGTTAAGCAGAGCAAATGTTAAAAATATTACATGTTGATCTCTTCCTCTCCTCCCTGCCTGTCTCCAGACCCGCCCCCGGAAACTAGCATGGAGAGGAGAGACCTTGCAGTGTGATGAGCACCGATTGGCTGCTCCTCAGGAAAAGGGAGTGTCTGGCTTATCCTCCCTTTATCCAACTTGGTAAACCTTAAATTTGTGTGCGCTTGTGAAATGGTGACCAACTTCACCACCCTATATTTTCTCTATAGGCGACACTTTTTTAAAGCCCCTTTTTATATAGTTCATCAATTTAGCGTTACGGAGGTCGTCTGGTGCTAGAATTATTGTTCTTATGCTGGCGTGCGTGGCAATATGTAACGTGTAGCGCAATCAACGTTTTCTTAGACACCCCAGCATGTGCTTTTATGTTTGTACATGGGTGGAAGGTCTCTATTTATTTATTTATTTTTTTTTGGGGGTGGGGGGGATGTTATGTGCTTGGGTGCTCATTTTTTACAATAAAACCTTCTTCCTTTTTTTTCTTTTCATAACATAGGGGACAAAGTTCCCTGTGTGATTGGTGACTGGTTCTCTTTGAGACATCCAGGGTCTAAAAGGCCCTGCATGCTTCCTCTGAATGTAATGCAGTGCATATCGCACAGCATTAAATTTTTTCCCGTCCTCCATGGCCGGGAATCTCAATGGGGGATCCAGAAGTGACGACATCAGCTTCACTTCTGGGTCAGGAGAAGGAAAGAATGAAACATGTCTTCATCTCTCCTCCCTCCCCTCTAGCCAACGGCAGTGAGCCAGGCCCACACATGGGCAAGCGGAGTTAACACTGGATGGGGGAGAGGCTGGCACTGTGTGGAAGTAATCTGTGGCAGCGCTGCCACCCGAACGCTTCCACCTGACATTTTTACAAATCTGAACAGTAGGACGTGTATTTATATTCAGCCCCCTTTTACTCTGATACCCCTAACTAAAATCTAGTGGAACCAATTGCCTTCAGAAGTTTATCTATTTAGTAAATAGGGTCCACCTGTGTGTAGTGTTGGAGACTTTCACAAGGAGTGGACTGAGGCTGGAGTCGGTGCATCAAGAGCCACCACACACAGCTGGATCCTGGACATGGGCTTCAAATGTCGTATTCCTCGTCAAGCCGCTCCTGAACAACAGTTAGAAGCGTCTTACCTGGGCTAAAGAAAAACAGACCTGGTCTGTTGCTCAGTGGTCCAAAGTCCTCTTTTCTGATGAGAGCAACTTTTGCATCTCATTTGGAAACCAAGGACCCTAGAGTATGGAGGAAGAATGGAGAGGCACACACTGCAAGATGCTTGAAGTCCAGTGTGAAGTTTCCAGTCTGTGTTGATTTGGGGAGCCATGTCATCTGCTGGTGTTGGTCCACTGTGCTTCATTAAGCCTAGGGTCAACGCAGCCATCTACCAGGAGATTTTGGAGCACTTCATGCTTTCTTCCACAGACAAGCTTTATGGGGATGCTGACTTCATTTTCCAGCAGGACTTGGCACTTAGAGAATCTATGGGGCAGTGCCGAGAAAGATGAGACATGAGACCGAACAATGCAGAAGAGCTGAAGGCCGCTATTGAAGCATCCTGGTCTTCCATAACACCTCAGCAGTGCCACAGGCTGATGGCTTCCATGCCACGCCACATTGAGGCAGTAATCGCTGCAAAAGGGGCCCAAACCATGTACTGGATACATATGCATCCTTATACTTTTCAGAGGTCCGATATTGTTTTATGTACAATCCTTGTTTTATTGATTGCATGTAATATTCTAATTTTCTGAGATTGTGGATTTGGGGTTTTCATGAGCTGTAAGCCATAATCATCACAATTATGACAAATCACGGCTTGAACTATCTCATATATTTCACCTTTTTAAGTTGCATTACTGAAATAAATGAACTTTTGCACGATATTCTAATTTTTCGAGTTTCACCTGTATTTGCTGATCATGAATGACAGAGGCCTCAGATCTTTATGTGGAAAATTGCTCTGGTTATTGAAGCAAGAGGGTCAGCATGAAGGCAACTAGCCTTTTCAGAAGGCTAGAACTGCAATGAAAGCCTTTGTGTTTTCTCTTGTGGCAAGCATACGGTAAAGCTATGTTAAAGTGGTTGTAAAGGCAGGTTTTTTACCTTCATGCATTCTATGCATGAAGGTTAAAAAAATCTGTAGAAGCTCCCCCAGCCCCCTCAATACTTAGCCTCATCGTGATCCAGCGATGTGAATGACAGCCTCAGCTGTCACTAGTCTCTGCCTCCTCTTTGGCTGAGACAGCAAGCGGAAGCCATTGGGTACCATTGCCAATCACAGCCAGTCTGCCAATGAGGAGAGAGGGGCGGGTCCAATCCACAGCTCTGTGTGAATGTACAAACGGAACAGCGGGAGCCCCCATAGCAAGCTGCTTGTTGTGGGGGCACTTAACAAACAGAAGGAGCCAGGAGAGCCTGCGGGGGACTCAAGAAGAGGATCCAGGCTGCTCTATGCAAAACCTCTGAACAAAGTTAGACTATAGACATGTTTTTGCTTTCTAAAAAAAAAAAATTCACCCTCACATGACTTAAAGTGATTCTAACTAACAAGGGCTGGGACACGTAATCTTTTCTGGAGAAATTGTAATATGAGGCGCTCCAGTACTGCTCATGTGATCCCGGTTTGATGGATCAAAATTCATAGTCTGGGCTGGCTCAGTAACATGAGATCTGTCTGAATTCAGGGATTAAGCAATACCGATCATTTAATGCTGAGGAGTTGAGGTTGTTTTGGACCCTTTCCATTATTAGGTTAAAGTTCTACTCTGATCAAGGACCCACACACAACTTCCCCTCCCCCAAGTAATTACTGCTGCAATTTAACCCCCAAAAATGCCCCTTTTTACTTGTCAAAATTTCAGGCGTTTAAGTTTTCTATTGTCTGTACAGCAGTGTAGAATGGTTGTTCCTCTAGTGCCCTCATCGCAGCTTGTGACATGGACACTTCCCAGTGGCCCCTCAGCAGAGGGGTTCTTTCATACTTTAGATGTCTTCAGTGGTGCAAGGTGAAGAAAAGGAGGGGGAAAAAAAACAAAGTAGTCAAGTGGGGAGTAGCGGGGATGAGTGTTTGTGGTGTGTTTGTGTGTGGTTTGTTTTTTTTTTTTTTTTTTTTTTTTTTTTTTTTTTCCCTCGTAGATTAACTTCAGTACATTAAATATATTTATAAAAACTCAGCGAGCACTTTTTTGAAGATCATGTAGCAGCAAAATGCACTATAAAAGGAACCTGTGACCTTCAAAATAGCAGGAATAATAAAAGTGCAGCGCTATAAAATTAAATACACAACTGATGAATACATAAAGTGCTTAGTGCATCTGAAATCCAAGGAATGATGGGTGAAATGAGATATAGAATGGGCTGGTGTGTGTGTGATTACAATAAATAAATGAATGTCCCATAAAAGTGCAAATAGTCCTTAAAAGTGGAGTATCTTATTCTGAAGTGAGGAATTCTGTTATCCAATATAACATATAAAAGATGATTCAGTGAAGTGCAGAAGGTGGTAAAAATGCACATTCACCAGATGCGCATTTAAAATGCGCAGTGTATACAATATGACGTCTGCCAGAGGTCCCCTTTAAGGTGGGATGAATGTGGAGCCTGGGAAGGATATCCCTCTGGATTTTGGGGCTGCTTATGGCCTGATGTCACCCGGGATTCTGCAAATTTTTAATAGCTCGGTGCTGAGCCAGAAAGAAGGGTGCCCAGAATGTAATACTGTTAAGGTCATTTATTAAAAAAAAAAGACCTTTTGTCATCCACGAGATAGTAGTATATAGTTAGCACATCTTGCTGACATAAAGCACTGACCAGCTGGGATCAAAGATGGCCGCCGGATCCCCTTTTTTGATGAGTATCAATATTTTCGGTCAGTTACTCGCTGATGCAGAGTACCGATACTTTTTGGTGCAATTTGTGTCAATACAAAATCTGTGGACGCAAATTGCACTAAGAATAGCATGTGATTTGAACAGGAATGAGATTCCTGTCCAAATCGCATGTGGTTTCCCCACTGCTCCTGTGATCCCAGGCTTGTCAGCCTGAGTTCACACAAAAGCAATGCAGAAAAGCTCCCTGCACCAATCCCATGCTGAACAGAGTGGGAGAGATACATAATTTCTGTAGGCAACTCCAATGTTTGCCAGCTCAGACCCTGTGTGATCAAATAAAAGCCATTGTACTAGCTTGCCTTGTACAGTTCAACTAATGGCTTCCTTGCCGGTAACGAAAATGAAAAGGAAAGTGTTTTTGGTTTGCTGACCTTTTTTCAAGTTCTCTTTCTAAGAGTAGCTTGTGTTGAGGATAATAGGTCTTTGTGAAAATGGCACAATGTTCTGCACAGGGGTCACATTTCATATCTCCCAGCTCAGCAGGAAGTCATTATTACAAGTGTTTAAATTTGTATGGCATTGGCTGCTTTCTTTTAAGTGTAAAAGTTTGCCTTTCTTATAGAAAAATATGAAGACCAATTTTATAATGGCATGTGCTGATATATACATTTTAGGTATATACTTTATTTCCGGTTTTAATCTGATTATTTTTATGTTTTGTTCTATAAATGTGTTCTAACCCTTCCAAACTCTCCAACTTAAAGAAAAAAGTTCTTGTGTTTTACATACTTTTATAATGTACAATATTTGCATAAACAAGACTTGGCAGTTTCAGAACTTGTGCTTGATTGATTTAGGCCTTTCTGTGTAATTATTTCCTTGTAATCTTTCAGGCGGCTGATACGCTGGCTGTGAGACAGAAAAGAAGAATATATGATATTACCAATGTATTGGAGGGGATCGGTTTGATAGAGAAAAAATCAAAGAACAGCATCCAGTGGAAGTAAGGATATATTTAAAAGGTTATTTTCACTCTCCTGATTTCGTTAGCTTAACCATTTGACCTCCAGAAGGTTTTACCCCCTACATGACCAGGGTTTTTTTTTTTTTTTGTGTTGTGTGTTTTTTTTTTTTTTTTTTTTTTAATCCTATGCGGTATCCTACTGCATACTCTGATGCGGTAGGATACCGCTTAGTGAGTTGTGCCCTGGATATGGACAAATCAAAAATGCTTCTAAACGCAAACGCTTATACATGCGGTTAGCTGCATTTACAAGCATTTGGCATTTGAAATGCTGATAAAGTCTACTCCTGAACTCAAGTTTGCTGCGTTTAAAAAAAACAAAAAAAAAAACTGTAAACTGAAAGAGCTGCTGGGGGAAAAAATGCAGAAAAGCTCCTGAATGTGAGTTTTATCAGCTGCAGTGTACATGAACCCTTACTGTCAGTGGGTCTGGAAGTGGTCAAGATGATGCAGTTTTTGTAAACAAATCAAATGGTTACCAATTCTATATATAGGCAGGGGCTGGTCTGAACCTTTTTTGTGTTTTTTTATTAAGCTGGCGACATGCTGATTAGCATCCTTATTTGGGCTTTCTAACATTTTATACTAATTATCTCTGCTTTATTTGCACATGAATTTTAACAGTCCTGTGATATTTTGTATCGTGAATTTTTCTTGTTAAAACAAAAAAAAAAAAACTGACTGTCTTGCCCTCTGCTCCTGTTTAGGGGTGTTGGTGCTGGATGTAACACAAAAGAAATTTTAGAAAGGCTGCGGAATCTTAAAGCAGAAATTGGAGACCTGGAGCTGAAAGAAAAGGAGCTGGACCAACAGAAAGTGTGGCTGCAACAGAGCATCAATAATGTTATGGACGATTCAGAAAATAAACTATATCCTTTTTAGTAGCTGCTTCAAAAAGACATGGTTATGCATTCTGTACTATTTTAGAAAGTAATGGTAAAGATAGGGCATTCTCTTTGAAACTTTACATATACCAAGAGATCCACTAATTAAAAAGTTTGGGAATTGGAAAAAAAAAATGTACTTGCCTAGATGGCTGCAGCACCTATCTTAGCTGCAGCTGTCCCCCACCAGCTGTATACAGAGATCTGAGCGATCAATCATTTCTCGGTCTTCAGTGAGCAGAGAGCTGGTGACTGTCATTGACTCACTGGAGCGTGGTGCTGTGGAGGGGGCAGGAGCAACTGGCTCAGGCTCGGAGCTGAGCCAGCAGCCAGTCCAGGCATCTGGGTGGATCCCAACATTAAAGTTAGGATCCCTGCAGAGCCTAGGCTGGCTCAGTGTTGTCAACCGATGGGACTTTAGCCCACAGTTGGCTGAAAACAGGTCACAGGAGTGCAGCACGAAGTGCACTCATGTGACCTATAGAAGTATAGATGGCCAAAAGTGCTTTGGCCATACTACAATTGTTAGGTGACTGTTTAGTCTATTAGCATTCCTCACCTTTTAGTGGCAGGCTGCTCATCTTGATTCAGCCTGCCTGCTTCTGATGACGTTAAAGGTCAGCTTATTGTGGTGCAGTTTGACCTGTAGCATGTCCTTGTGCATTTTTTATACTAGTGCTGAAACTGCCTGATTGGTTGTCAGCCAGCAGATTTGCCCAGAGTAGTTTAATCGATTTGCAGGGTTCAGTTTTTATAGCAATGGGCAGAGCAGCCCCCAACAGAGGTGAAAGATGTGGTTTGCTGGTAGGAAAGCTGACCTTTTTACAGTGAAGGAAAAGTATTTGATCCCCTGCTGATTTTGAATGTTTGCCCACTTGCAAACAAATGATCAGTTTAAAAATCGAATGGTAGGTGTATTGTAACAGACAGAATAGCAACAAAAAATTCAAAAGAAATGCATGTCTGCATGTTCATGAGGGAAATAAGTATTTGATTCTCTTCACAAAACATGACTTAGTACTTGGTGGCAAATCCCTTGTTGGCAATCGGAGGTCAGACATTTCCTGTAGTTAGCCATCAGGTTTGCACACATCTCAGGAGGGATTTTGGCTCAGTCCTCTTGGCAGATCCTGTCCAAGTCATTAATGTTTGGTGGCTGACGTTTGGCAACGCCAACTTTCATCTCCCTTCACAGATTTTCAATCGGATTAAGGTCTGGAGACTGGCTAGGCCACTCCAGGACCTTAATGTGCTTCTTGATCCACTCCTTTGTTGCTTTGGCCGTGTGTTTTGGGTCATTGTCATGCTGGAACACCCATCCACGACCCATTTTCAATGCCCTGGCTGAGGGAAAAAGGTTCTCACCCAAGATTTCACGGTACCTTGCACTGTCCATCGTCCCTTTGATGTGGTGCAGTTGTCCTGTCCCCTTAGCAGAAAAACACCCCCAAAGCAGAATGTTTCCACCACCATGTTTGACAGTAGGGATGGTGTTCTTGGGGTCATAGGCAGCATTCCTGCTCCTCCAAACACGGGGAGTTGATGCCAAAGAGCTCAATTTTGGTCTCATCTGATCACAACACTTTCAACCAGTCCTCTGCATCATTCAGATGTTCAGTGGCAAACTTCAGATGGGCCTGGACATGTGCTTTCTTGAGCAGAGGGACCTTGCGGGCACTGCAGGATTTCAGTCCTTGTTGGCATAGTGTGTCACCAATTGGTTTCTTGGTGACTGTGATCCCAGCTGCCTGGAGATCGACAAGATCCTCATGTGTAGTTCTGGGATGATTCCTCACTGTTTTCATGATCATTGTCACTCCACGAGGTGAGATCTTGCATGGTGCACCAGACCTAGGGAGACTGACAGTTATTGTGTTTTCTTCCATTTGCGAATGATTGCTCCAACTGTTTTCACCTTCTCAACAAGCTGCTTGGCAATAGTTTGGTAGCCCAGTCCAGCCTTGTGTAGGTCTACAATCTTGTCCCTGACATCCTTGGACAGCTCTTTGATCTTTCCCATCGTGGAGAGTTTGGAATCTGATTGATAGCACCTGTGGACAGGTGTCTTTTTATGCAGGTAACAAAATGAGATTAGCAGCACTCCCTTTAAGAGACTGCTTCTAATCTCAGCTTGTTACCTGTATGAAAGACACCTGGTAGCCAGAAGTCCTGCTGAATGATAAGGGATCAAATGCGTATTTCCCTCATGAACATGCAAATCGGTGCAGAATTTGTTAGACATGCATTGCTTTAGAATTTTTTGTTGCTATTCTGTCTGTTACAATACACCTACCATGCGATTTTTAGACTGATCATTTCTTTGTGAGTGGGCAAACTATCAAATATATAGATTTCCTTCACTGTATCTTCCCTGCACCAGGGAGATGACCCTGGGCTTTTCAGATAACTAAACTTGTGTAGAAAGGCTTATTTATTGCCTTTTTTGAGAATGGTTCTCTTTGTATTAGATTACATTGTCATTTTTAAATGCAAGAAAAATATATTTTTGCTATTTCATTGCCAGCCTTACATTCTTTAACACAGTTCATACATTTTCTTTTGTAACTCATGATGATCTGTGTAATTGTTTTAATGGTAAGTGCATATTTGTGCTTGTTCTGTTACTTTACTTGCGTTCGGATTGAACAACTTTTTAATGAAAGCAGCAATGGTATGCAGAGTACAGTAGCAGATGGGTTTAGTCTGTTACAGCAATCGTCTGCAGTCAGAATAGTATGACTGCTGTGAGTGTTTTATTTACCCTTTTGTTAATCTAAAGCAAGATATGGTCATGGATTGCTGTTTGATGCCATGCTTTTATTTTTAATTTATTTTTCTCCTATAGCATGTGGTCCCAGCTTTGGGGTAGTCAAGTTTAGTACTTTAACAGGCATGCATGCTGTACTCATGGTAACTGGCTCATATCTCTTTATGCAATGCTCTGGATGTATAGGTAATTTTCTGAAAACTTAGTAAAATCAGGTATCCAGTACTGTTGGACTGAGCCAACCCAGGCTTGCTCACTTTTCAGTGGTGTGTACTTTTTTTTTTTTTTTTTTTTTTTTTTTTTTTTTTTTTTTTTCTCCCCCTCCCCTGAGGGCACATTCATACTACATGTGCTTGAAAACAGATGTATTAGTGTGCTATGTCACACATGAAGACCTGTTGAAGTGTGTTTGTAAGTTCTCCATTGACATAAATTGAAAAATGTAGATCAGCAAGCTAGAAATACACTGCTCAAAGTTAAACACTTTTTATACAGAGTATATCAAGTCAGTTAAACTCCTGTTATATTGATCTGGTCAGTTATGTAGCAGAGGGGGTTGTTAATCAGTTTTAGCTGCTTTTGGTGTTAATGAACAGGTGCACGTTTTTTATTCCCCCCTACTCGTCTTTTCTGACTTTTTTTTTTTTTTTTTTACTAGCTTTGCATTTGTCTAGGGTCAGTGTCACTACTGGTAGCATGAGGTGCTACCTGGACCCTACAGAAGTTGCACAGGCAGTCCCAACTCCTCCAGGATGGCACATCAATACGTGCCATTGCCAGAAAGTTTGCTGTCTCCCAGCACAGTCTCAAGAGCATGGAAGCAGGACCGGTATCTGCTCCTTTGTACAAGAAGGAACAGGATGAGCACTGCCAGAGCCCTACAAAATGACCTCCAGCAGGCCACTTGTGTGACTGTCTCTGACAAAACAATCAGAAACAGACTTCATGAGGGTGGCCTGATGTCCTCTAGCGGGTCCTGTGCTCGCTGCCCTGCACCATAGAGCTAGATTGGCATTTGCCATTGAGCACCAGAATTGGCAGGTCCGCCAGAGGCGCCCTGTGCTCTTCCCAGATGAGAGCATGATCACCCTGAGCACATGTGACAGATGTGAAAGGGTCTGGAGAAGCCATGGAGAACATTCTGCTGCCTGTAACATCATTCACATGACTGTTTTGGTGGTGGGGTCAGTGATTGTCTGGGGAGACCTATCCATGGAGGGATGCCCAGACCTCTACAGGGTAGACAATGGCACCCTGACTGCCATTAGTTATCGGGATGAAATCCTGGGACCCATTGTCAGACCCTACACTGGTGCAGTGGATCCTGGGTTCCTCCTGGTGCATGATAATGCCCGGCCTCATGTGGCAAGAGTATGCAGGCGGTTCCTGGAGAATGAAGGAATTGATACCATTGAATGGCCTCCATGTTTGCCTGCCCTACATCCAATAGAACACATCTGGGATATCATATTTTGATCCATCCGACGCCGCCAGGTTGCACCTCAGACTGTCGATAGTCTCCTTAGGAGCATGCCCCGACATTTTCAGGCATGCATACAAGGATGTGGGGACCATACAAACGGAGTACCATTTCTGAGTTGCTAAAATGAAATTTCAGCAGAATGGACTAGCCTGCTGCATCATCTTATTTTTCCCTTTTTTTGTTGTTCGGAGTGTCTTTTTGAATTCAGTCCTCTGTAGGTTGATATTTTTTATTTCCATCAAACGATGGGACATCCTTGTGTTCCTAACACATTACCCAATCCATATTAGATATAGAGATATATATATATATATATATATATATATATATATTCTCTCCAGCATATTATTTTTTTTTTTTTTTTACCCACATTGAGATCTGATGTGTTTTCAAAGTGTTCCTTTAAATTTTTTGAGCAGTGTATATAGAAGTCTAGATATTTTTTTCCTTAACCCCTTAATACAGTACTAATTTAATAGTTTTAGGATAGTGGTGTGAGTGGCCATTGCTGACCTGGTTTTGAAAAGGTGCAGGCTGTGTGGCTTGCAATGTGTACAAGCACCTCCCGTCTGCCCTTGGTTTATTCTTTTCATCTAATCATTGCTGTTGTAGGTCAATTCACCTCAATGTGTGAAAGCCCCTTCTAGGTAGCAGTCTGGTGTTGTGGGGGACCTGCAACAGAAACACAAGTATTGTGTTTTTGAGGTGGGTGTTTGTGGGTTTTTTTTTTTTTTGTTTTTTTCTGCCAATAGGGAAGTATGACCGTTCTGGTCATGTAGTGTGACTTTATACTCTCTTGCGCTCAAGTAGCATCCATCACATCAAAGTAGTGTAGGAACCTTTTGTGTCCAAAGTTGCATGTTGGAGTTAAGGTTTAGGGAACCCCTAACATTTAACCCTAGCCCCTCAAAGTAGCGCAGGACCCTTTGTGTCCAAAGTCGCATGTTAGGATTATCAGGCTTCCTTATAAAGTGATTTTGAATACAAGGCAGCAGCTTTACAAACTTGAGCTGATGTTTTACTAAGTGGATGTTGGAGCCGCTGAGGATGTTTTTTTGTTGTGTTTTCAAGGCTGCCACATGAAGTTTTTTTTTTTTAAATCTGTTTTTAGTTGGCTTGTTACCCTCCTTCATAGTCGGTGCTTTGGAACATCCCACTTATAATGTCGATAATAGCCTATGTCCTGGAATGTATCAAAGAAAATGGGGATTTTTGGTGTACCAGTGAAATTGTTTTTTTCTAGGAGTATATCACAGGGATATCCTACACCCCCCCCCCCCCCCCTCCTCCTAATGTCCAATCCTCTTAATGTGGCAGCATTGTAATGTTGTAATGGAAAAGAGACCCTTTTTTTTGTGCTGTGTACTCCAAAACAAAATACAAATATTTACAGGTAACCCAAAAATCCCCCCCCCACCCCTTCTAGCATGGCTTTAAACCGTTCTTGTGACTAATTTCACCTGTTGCCTTGACATGCTCTGTAATTAACTTTGGGCCTACAGGGCATTTTGTCCTAGCTGCAAACTCTGCTCACGGGTCTCTTTATGATCTATACTGATCTGTAATAGTCTGCTAAACCAGTTAAGAATATCTTGAACATGATTACTTTTGTTTCTTAGGTGACACACTTTTGGCAGTTCAAGCTCCTTCTGGTACACAACTAGAAGTTCCCATCCCAGAAATGGTAAGAATGGCTCAACCGTCTGTGTGAAAATGGTCTAGCAATGCTTTTCTCTTGTTTTGCTTAGTTTTGGTCTGAATAATATACAATATAAGCATTTAGCAATATCTGTTCAAAAATTGTCAAAAGGGCATGCATCACTAGCTCCAAGCTGCACTATATCCCATTCTCACCTTTATTTATCAGTACGCTGCCACCTGGTGGCTGATGGCTTCTTGCATTTTGTTCCTTGGCAAAAATAAAATACCATTTTACGATTATCATTTGTTTTACAACGGGTTTAAAAGTATGCTGAAATTAAGATGTATGTCTTCTTTAAAATTTGCAGGCAACGATCACTGAACGAGGGAACCAGTCTGATCTTGCTTCCTTGTCAGAGCTTTTAATCTGCGGCCTTGCCCTGTAACATTGCTTGTAATGTGTTTTGTGAGTGAGATGGATGATGTACTTTCTCTGCTTTCAGTTAAGCTACATCAGTATATTTAATCAACAGACAATGCTGAAATATCCAGACTTGCTGTCTGAGATGAACAGAAGATTGAATGTAAATTAATACCCAGCAGTGGAACACAAAGCATTTTTTTTTTTCCCCTGACATGGGGGTTTTCAAATGCAACTCTGAACATAATAACTTTGAGCTTTGTTGCTGAAATGGAGCAAATGGCTTTTTTGTTTTTTCATGAATATTGGCAGAATACTAATTCAGTTTTTTTGGTTCATGTTTTGTTTTCTTTTTCAGGGCCAAAATGGACAAAAAAAGTACCAGATCAGTTTAAAGAGTAGCTCTGGGCCAATAAATGTGCTTCTTCTTAATAAGGAATCTAGCACATCAAGGCCTGTTGCTTTCCCAGTGCCCCCACCTGATGACATCACACAGCCCCACACACAGCCTAACAGTTATAGGAAACCAGCCACCCAAGTTTCTCAGCCAGAGGAAATGCAGAACAAGCTATCACATTGCAGTACAAGTAGGTAATCATGTATAAAGGAGGGTCAAAGGTATTTGTAATATTTTGGCATAGACTCTCCTCTTGTATGGATGTTTTTTGTCTTAAAAGTTATTCCTTTCCTACATTGTAAATTTGCTTGTCTAAAAAAAATCTTATGGTTACAATAGAACTAATTTTATATTGCGTTTAACAATAATCTTGGTTTTCTTTGTAGATAATATTCAGGACAGCACTACTGCAAGTAGCTTTTCAGAACTGCCAGATTCGCTAATATATCCTTCACTAACAGATTTAACGTCAACTACTGCCAGCTCAAGTGATTACCAGCCACCACTGCTTCCCTTGGATGTTGGCAATATCCTCAAACCTAATTCATTCGACATAACAAAAATGGATGACCAAGAAGGTACATTTTATATTACACCGCATTAAAATCTTTCAAGCATTTGTAAAATGTAGGTCATATACAGTAGGTATGTTATCGAATGATCAGCTGTTTGTGTCTTCAGTGGGTGACCTTCATTTATAGCTTTTTTTTTTTTTTTTTTTTTTTTTTTTTTTTTTTTTTTTTTTGTCTGGTCACACTGTCTCTCTGCCATTTTGGCTTCTGTGTCTATGCCACATTCTGCCCTTGATCGATCTATTGGTCCAGCCAGTGATGGCACAGATGGTGGGCCAAAGTACACACTTCTAGAGATTGACCATTGACCACAGATTGTCCTTTTTTAAGAGGTGTGTGTCCAAAAAATTTAAAGAACACTTTGAAACATCAGTTCTCAATGGGGAAAAATCTCATGCTGGATATCTATACTGATATGGACTGGGTAATGTGTTTAGGAATGTAAGGATGCCCCATCATTTGATGGAAAATAAGTGAGAAAACTATGCAGCAGGCTAGTCCATTTTTCTGAAATTTCATTGCAGCAACTCAAAATGGTATTCGTTAGTTTGTATGACCCCCCCCTACATGCTTGTATGCATGTCTGACCACGTAGGGGCATGCTCCTAATGAGACTATGGATGGTGTCCTGGGGTATATCCTCTCAGATCTGGACCAGGGCATCACTGAGCTCCTGGACAGTCTGAGGTGCAACCTGGTGACGTCAGACCGAACAATAATATCCTAAAGGTGTTCAATTTTATTTGGGTCAGGCGAGCATGGGGGACATTCAGTGGTGTCAATTCCTTTTATCCTCCAGGAACTGCCTGCATAGTCTCGCCACATGAGGCTGGGCGTTGTCGTGCACCAGGAGGAACCCAGGACCCACCACCAGTGTAGGATCTGACAATGGGTCCAAGGATTTCATCCCGATACCTAATGGCAGTCACGATACCATTGTCTAGCCTGTAGAGGTCTGTGTCCCTACATGGATATGCTTCCCCAGACCATTACTGACCCACCACCAAAATGGTCATGCTGAACAATGTTACAGGCCGCATAACTTTCTCCACGGCTTCTCCAGGTCCTTTCATGTCTGTCACATGTGCTCAGGGTGAACTTACTCATCTGTGAAAAGCGCAGGGCACCAGTGGTGGACCTGCCAATTCTGGTGCTCAATGGCAAATGGCAATCTAATTCTATAGTGCTGGGCAGTGAGCACAGGGCCCACTAGAGGATGTCCGGCTCTCAGAACACCCTCATGAATTCTGTTGATTGTTTGGTCAGACATTCACACCAGTGGACTGCTGGAGGTAATTTTGTAGGGCTCTGGCAGTGTTCATCCTGTTCTTCCTTGCACAAAGGAGCAGATGCCGGTCCTGCTGATGAGTTAAGGACCTTTTGCGGCCCTGTCTAGCTCTCCTAGAGTAACTGCCCATCTCCTGGAATCTCCTCCATGCTCTTGTGCTGGGAGACACAGCAAACCTTCTGGCAATGGCATATATTGATGTCATCCTGGAGGAGTTGGACTGCCTGTGCAACCTCTGTAGGGTCCAGGTATCACCTCATGCTACCAGTAGTGACACTGACCCTAGCCAAATGCAAAACTAGTGAAAAACAGTCAGAAAAGATGAGTAGGAAAAGTCATAGGCCTCAATCTGTAAAACCATTCCTGCTTTGGGGGTCATCTCATTGTTGCCAGTCTAGTGCACCTGTTAATCAGTTTCAGCTGCTTTGATGTTGATTACATTAACAACCACCTCTGCTGCTTAACTGACCAGATCAATATAACAGGAGCTTAACCACTTGCCTACTGGGCATTTATACCCCCTTTACCAGGCCACCAATTTTCAGCTTTCAGCGCCATCGCACTTGGACAATTGCGCGGTCATGAAAGATTGTACCCATATGAAATTTTTATCTTTTTTTTTTTTTCCTCACAAATAGAGCTTTCTTTTGGTGGTATTTAATCGTCGCTGGGCGCTTTACTTTTTGTGCTATAAACAAAAGTGTGAAATTTTATAATAGAAACACATTTTTTTCTTCAAAATTTTTTGAACAGGTAATTTTTCTCCTTCACTGATGTGCGTTGATGGGGCAGCACTGAAGGGCACTGATAGGCAGCACTAATGAGGTGGCACTGATGGGTACTGATAGACAGCACTGATAGGTGGCACTGACTGGCAGCACTGCATTGGTGGGCACAGGTGGGTGGAACTGGTGGGTGGCACTGATCATCAGTGCCCTGATGATCGGTGCCAGTCCCTGCTCTGACAACTGCCGGTTCTCGGCAGTACTTTCCTCACGCTCTGACAGTGTGAGGAAAGTGCAGCCGAGAACCGGCAATTGCATTTCCGGTGATCAGCGTGTCATTGGACCCGGCTGATCACGTGGTAAAAGGCCGCTGTGATTGGCCTTTTACCACATCACGTGATCAGCTGTGTCCTACAGACACAGCGATCACGGAGATCGCCAGAGGCGCGCAGGAGAGCGCGTTCTGGGAGGACATCATATGACTCCCTCCCAGAACTGGCCGGCCGCAGTGTAGCTGTCATTCGGCTATCTGCGGCTGGCAAGTAGTTAATTGACTTGATGCTTTACACTTAAAGTGTTCTGTTAAATTTTTTTGAGGTGTGTGTGCGTGGTGTGTTTTTTTTTTTTTTTTTTTTTTTTTATTATACAGTGCTCAGCATAAATGAGTACACTTGTTTTGAAAAGTAAGACTTTAATACAATATCTCAATGACTACAAGAAAACAATTTCCAAATTTGACTAAACTGAGCTTTATAGAACATTTGTTTAGCTCATTACATGAAAGTAAGGTTAAAAATATAACTTTGATTATAAGATCTTCAGGTTTTTTTACTCAAATTAGTTGATGCAAAAATGAATACACCCCACAACAAAAACTACATCTAATATTTTGTATGACCTCCATGATTTGTAAGGACAGCACCAAGTCTTCTGGGCATGGAATGAACAAGTTGGCAACCTCCTATCTTTTTTCCATTCTTCAAGAACGACTTCTTCTTTTTTTAGAGCCTGGATGGAGAATGATGCTGAACTTGTCTCTTTAGAATTCCCCATAAGTTGTTGGGTTCAGATCACAAGACATACTTGATCACTGAATCCATTTCACCCTGTTCTTGTTCAGAAATGCAACAGTGGCCTTAGATATGTGTTTTGGATCATTGTCATGTTGAAAGTGCACAATGACCAAGGGCATGGAGTTGATGGTAGCATCTTCTTTCAATATAGAGCAGTACATCTGTGAAGTCATGATAACATCATTGAAATGCAGCTCCCCGACACCGGCAGCACTCATGCAGCCCCACAGAAGGACATTGCCACCACCATGTTTCACTGTAGGCACCATGCATTTTTCTTTGTACTCCTCACCTTTTGCGACACCATACAGTTGTGTGTGTTTTTTTTTTTTTTGTTTTTTTGTTTTTAAAGCCATCCATTCCAAAAAACATTTATCTTGGTCTCATCACTCCAGAGCACAGTGTCTTATTTTTCAGCATGGGCCCTGGCAAATTCTTGGTGGGCTTTTTAGTGCATTGGCTTTAGGAGAGGATTCCTTGGTGGACGACACCCATGCATGCTATTCCTCTTCAGTGTACACCATATTGTGTCATGGAAACAATCACCCCAGTTTGGCTCTCTATTTTAGCTAACTACAGTGAACTTGCACGGCAATTTTCTCCATCCCTTCTCATCAGAAGACTCTCCTGTAGAAGTTGTAACTTCTGTGGACATCTCTGTGAGATGGTTGTAGTTCCATCTTTGTTAAATTTTTGTATCACTTTTGCTACAGTATTCTGACAAGTAAAGTTTTTTGCTGAGCTTCTTGTAGCCTTCACCTTTCTTGTCTAAAATTATTTTCTTTCTCAAGCCTTGTGACATCTCTCTTCCATGTGGTGCCATTGTTGACAGCATGAAGTGGGAAGGGCTTTTCTTTAACGCCCTTTTTATAATCCACTGTCTGCTGGACACCTGTTCAATGAATAATTAGACACACCTGTAGTTACATAGTTAGTCTGGCTGAAAAAAAAAGACAAAAGTCCATCCAGTTCAACCATAAAAAAAATCCTACATCCACAGCTGATCCAGAGGAAGGGAAAAACCCAGCAAAACATGACCCAATTTGCTCCTGCAGGGGGAAAAAAAAAAAAATTCCTTCCCCCGAGAGGCAATCTGATATTCCCTGGATCAACTTTTACCTATAAATGTTAGTAACCAGTTTGTTGTGTATCCAAGATAGCATCCAGGCCTCCTTTTTTTTTTTTTTTTTTGTTTTTTTTTTTTAAAGCAATCCACTGAGCTGGCAAGAACCAACTCTTGAGGGAATCTATTCCACATTTTCACAGATCTTACTGTGAAGAAACCTTTCCGTGTTTGGCGATTAACTGTATTTCTCCAGATGTAAAGAGTGCCCCTTTATCCTCTGTGATGACCTCAGGGTGAATAACACAGAGTTCACTATACAGGAGAAACTCGAAAAACTAGAATATCGTACAAAAGTTAACTTATTTCAGTAATGCAACTTAAAAGGTGAAACTAATATGAGAGACTCATTACATGCAAAGCAAGATAGTTCGAGCCATGATTTGTGATGGTTATGGCTTACAGCTTCTGAAAACCCCCAAACCCACAATCTCAGAAAATTAGAATATTACATGCAATCAATAAAACAAGGCTTGTACATAGAACAATATCGGACCTCTGAAAAGTATAAGCATTCATATGTACTTGGTTTGGGGCCCCTTTTGCAGCAATTACTGCCTCAATGTGGCGTAGCATGGAAGCTATCAGCCTGTGGCACTGCTGAGGTGTTATGGAAGACCAGGATGCTTCAATAGCGGCCTTCAGCTCTTCTGCATTGTTCGGTCTCATGTCTCTCCTCTTTCTCTTGGCAATGCCCCATAGATTCTCTATGGGGTTCAGGTCAGGTGAGTTTTCTGGCCAATCAAGCAACGTAATCACACGGTCATTGAACCAGGTTTTGGTGCTTTTGGCAGTGTGGGCAGGTGCCAAGTCTTGCTGGAAAATGAAGTCCGCATCCCCATAAAGCTTGTCTGCAGAAGGAAGCATGAAGTGCTCCCAAATCTCCTGGTAGACGGCTGTGTTGACCCTGGACTTAATGAAACACAGTGGACCAACACCAGCAGATGACATGGCTCCCCAAATCAACACAAACTGTGGAAACTTCACACTGGACTTCAAGCATCTTGCAGTGTGTGCCTCTCCATTCTTCATCCATACTCTGGGTCCTTGGTTTCCAAATGAGATGCAAAAGTTGCTCTCATCAGAAAAGAGGACTTTGGACCACTGAGCAACAGACCAGGTCTGTTTTTTTTTTCTTTAGCCCAGGTAAGACTCTTCGGACGTTTGTTGTTCAGGAGCGGCTTGACAAGAGGAATACGACATTTGAAGCCCATGTCCAGGATCCGTCTGTGTGTGGTGGCTCTTGATGCACTGACTCCAGCCTCAGTCTACTCCTTGTGAAAGTCCCCAACACTTTTTTTTTAATGGCCTTTTCCTAACAATCCTCTCCAGGCTGCGGTCATCCCTGCTGCTTGTGCACCTTTTCTTCCACACTTTTCCCTTCCACATAAACTTTCTATTACTGTGCTTTGATACAGCACTTTGGGAACATCCAACTTCTTTTGCAATTACCTTTTTTTGAGGCTTTCCCTCCTTATGGAGGGTGTCGATGATGGTTTTTTGCACAACTGTCAGGTCAGCAGTCTTACCCATAATTTGTGATTCCTACTGAACCAGACTGAGACCATTTAAAGGCTCAGGAACCCTTTGCAGGTGTTATGGCTTAATTAGCTGATTAGAGTGGGACACTTTGAGCCTAGATTATTGCACCTTTTTCACAATATTCTAATTTTCTGAGATTGTGGATTTGGGGTTTTCATGAGCTGTAAGCCATAATCATCACAATTATGACAAATCACAGCTTGAACTATCTTGCTTTGCATGTAATGAGTCTATCTCATATATTAGTTTCACCGTTTTTTAAGTTGCATTACTGAAATAAATTAAATTTTGCATGATATTCTAGTTTTTCGAGTTTCACCTGTATGAACCACTGATGTATTTATACATGTTGATCATATCCCCCCTTAATCTCCTTCTCAAGAGAATAAATTTCTCCTCAGTTCCCCCCCAATGTTCTTTTTGTGAATTGGTGACCAAAACTGAACTGCATATTCCAGATCAGGTCTTACTAATGGTTTTTAAAGGGGTAAAATGATCTCTCTGGAGTCTATACCTCGCTGCTGGGTTCCCTCCCAAGCCTGTAGACTTCAACTTACATATTAGCCATGTGTGGGGAACGGTGTCAAACACTTTTGCAAAATCCATAAAGACCTGTGGGTGTATGCCATCCAGTCCAGGTGCTTTATTCTGTCTAAATATTTTTGGATCGTATCAATTGTGAGCCAATATGTATCATCTGGTGTCAATACCATGCCCATTATGGACAAGAGCTTCCTCATGTTCCTTTTGTATACACAAAGCTGAAGAAGGTATTTAATAAATTTGCCTTCTTTTGTCCCCAGTCACCCATTCTAGATTATTTTGTAAAGGGCCTACATGCTCGGAGCGGACCTTTTTACTATTCATATATTTGAAGAATTTTCAGGGGTTTGTCCTGCTACCTTTTTGCAATCTGACGTTCGTTTTCAATTTTTGTGGCCTTTATTTCCTTTTTGCATATTCTGTTATTTTTTGTAATGTTGTTAACCACTTGCCCTCCAGAGGATTTACCCCCTTCATAACGAGGCCATTTTTGGCGTTACGGCACTGTGCTACTTTAACCAGCTAAACCCTGCTCTGTATCTACGGAATGCCTGCTCCATAGATGTATACAGCTCAGGAGTAAGCTTGCACTGTGTGCCCTCATAGCAAGCAGCTTGTTATGGGGCACACAGAAGAAGAGGGAACATTGCCAGCAGAGAACCCCAGAAGAGGAAGTTCGGGCCTGCTCTGTGCAAAACCACTGACTAGAGTAGGCAAGTAGGACATGTTTAATATTTAATTTTTAAAAATTCCTTTAACACTTCAAAGGCTAAATCCACCCACATTTGCAGCAAAAAAAATGGTATGTTTTTCAGACTCATTTGCAAAATAAATGCAGTCATGGACCACAGACACTCCTGCAGACTCTTCCTCCAGATGTGTCAAAACTGAAGTACAAACTTTCAATTGGAGAGCTGAAGGAGGTGTCAATAGACTACAAGTGGGGTAATCGCTA